TCCACCCCCACCCATGCCACCACCATCAAAAGTTTTTTTTTTTTGATAAATATTTCAAATTAAAAAAAAAAAATCCTTAGTATGCCCACCTCCCCACCCCCTGCCACACCTGACAATTTTTTTTTTAAAAAATAAATTGTTTTTGAAAGATATTTCAAACTTTTAAAATTTATATTTTTACGCCATTCCTATCCATTTTGGAACAGTCGTCAGGGTTGGGTACTTGATCGATTATCGGGGTTTATTTTCGGGTTAGAAATTATTTTCTAGTCTCAAGACAAAAATAAAAGATATTTTCTAGAAAATGTTTTTCATTCACCAACCAAACATTAAAAATATATTTTCATAAATTAGAAATCCACTTGTTTTTCAAGAAAACATTTTTCATGAAAAACATTTTCTTTCATACCAAACACACCGTAAGGGTATGAAGAAAAATGTTTTCCATCGAATGAAGGATTAAGTTGATTATGCTTTCTATGTCATTTTGGTTTCATTCTTAAATACAGTATAGTAGCATCATATGGGATGTACTGGTTCTTATATGTATTCTCTCTTATGATGCATGTGCACAATCCCTGTTGAGTTCGTACTGGACTCCTTTCTTCCTTGCATTTCCAAAATTTTCAAGTTTTAGCAAAAAAAAATCATTCGCCGGATAACCACGGTCCATGGACAATGAGTCTTAATATTTTGTTTTGAAGATGTTAAATCTTACTCAAATTTAAATGGAAGTTGTTGAAATTATCTTCATAAGCAGTCATTGTTAAAGTTCAAAGATTCAAAGTTTGAAAATCATTTTTTCTTAAATAAGCACTATTATGAGTAGGTATTGTTGCAAAAAATCAGTTACATATTGAAGAGCCTGAATATGAAATTTTGGGTGATTTGGTGTAGATTTGAGGTGTTTTTGAATGAATTTGGTGCTTGGATTCAAGGAAGACAATGAAGTCAGTTTTTTTTTTTTAATAATATTTTATATGGTATATAAATACCTACTGTAATTTTGCATGTTATTGTATATCAAGTGTATATAATACTCCTATTGTATATCAAGTTTTTAATTATTTAATAAAAAATATATATTAAAAAGTCTTGTATATTGTTGTATATGGTATGTATAAAGTTGTATACCAAATTGTTTTTTGGACTAAAGATTTATAATGTAAGTTTTGGACTCTATTTTTACAACTAGATAATGAAAAGCTCATTACGAGGCCAATATTACAGTCATTTGTACGTATTTAATTAGTTTTTCAAAAAACAATTTATCATCAATATTTTTTAAAAGAGAAAATAGTCAAATGCCCCCTCAACCTATTATCGAATTCCCAACTACACACTTATGTTTCACGGGAGTCCTATCACCCCCTAGACTATTTTAAAACGGAATAATTACACCCTTAGATGCTGACATGGCACAGAGAGTGTCATCACTCTCTTGGAGGCATGTGAAAGTCAGAAGAATTGATAAATAATATTTTTAATTTGACTTTTTGTTAATTATATATTTTTTACTCTTCCCTTTAAGTTTTTTGTTTCTTTTTCTTTTTCTTTTTTCCCCTCTATTTCTCATTACTCAACATGCACCCCACCACCATTTCCTCCACCTTGAACCACCATCACTACACTAACCACATCTTTTTATCCATCTTCTAATATATATTTTTACAATTTATTTCACTATTTTCTACAACTAACACGACAAATCATCAAATAATTATTAGAATTATTACTCATATTGCCGAAAAAATCAAATCGTCCTTAATCTCATTA